AGCTTTCGAAAAAAATAATTAAAACAGTCCAATAGTTTATTCGTTAAATACAAATCTCTTGTATATAAAACTTGAGATAATAATATTGCACATTACATACTGAAGATTAAATCATTAGGAGATAAGTCAGAAAATGTCATAAAACTCACTCTAGATATAACAGATTTTAATTAACTATTATGCCGGTCGTAACAAAACATGATAAACATAATTAAAAAATCCACCATGGTCCTGATGAAATTGTAATTTTATTATTTGCTTGAAACACAGATGAATTTATTAAAAATTGCTCGACTTTAAATATGTTCAGTAGGTAAATTAATTTAATTAAATATCAAGAATTTAAAATGTTAAAATATTAAAGTCGAATTTTGTTATAAAGGCATTTTATACATTGAACAAAAATGAAACTATTGCCGTAAAGTAAGCCATCGGAGTAATAGGAAATTATAAAACTATAATGTAGTGGTAGTGCCAGCTTTAACATCTTAGCACTGCAGGGCCGGCACGCCCGGTGCAATACCACACAGAAGACAGGCGTGAAATGGAAGCAATTCCGTGTTTTTTTTTTCTTTACCACCCTTTTCTTATAAAGAGAGGTTGGAAGGGGAAGTGGATTTGACAGTGGAGGAGATGCTTAGGAAGGGGAAATAACCTCTTTATACTTCTCCTCCTCCGTCGTATAAGGGTAGTCAACGCATCTGCAATTGCGGATGTCTATGGGCAGCGGTCGCTTCGCCATTTAGGCGGATTATAGTGGCCGCTTGCTCGTTTGCCACCTTATGTTATAAAAAAAACGTAACTACTATTTCCAATAATGTGTTTACATAACGAAATAATTTAATAACCGCTATTTCAATCATTTCAAATACTAAAATAATTTCAATTGTTTTGTAGACAAATGAATGAGTAAATTGGGGATTATACCAAAATAGTTCAACGCAAATCGTTTGCGTTAATGTAAATATATTTCGGGAATTTACGCGTTGAATCTAAAAAGTTCATCTCTATATTCGGTCCAGTCATGAAAATGAAACTCGACGTTGAAACCGAAATTTGCAATCCAAATTATTACCACATTCGGATTCATTTACGATATAAACTCGGAAGCTTTAATTTATATTAAATATTTTTTACTTTCTTTCTGTTCCTCTAATTAATTAATTATTTCACTAAAAAGCTTATGAATACGGTCTAATAATTTTGTGAAATATCCTTCCCTACCGATAAAATCGACACGAATTATGCAAAAAGATATTCTTAAGAGTCGTTACCGCGGAGTTCAAAGTAAATTCCTGGTGCCAATAAATTCAAGAGAAAGCTCCGAGTTTATATCCATAGCTGTCGACACAAAATGAAAGGCAACAACGGTCGCATTTAAATATAAGTTATTTACGTTATAAATTTCTATTTTTGATAAAAAAAAAGAAACTATGATAATTATATTGCGTACGATTTTGGCATTGTTATAATTTTTTAATATTTACTTTTAAAAAACTTTAATGGCGTATTATACATTTAAAACTCCGTATAGTCTTATTCGTATAACTATTTTAGATTAACGGTCGCCACAGGACTTCTAAAACTTGTCTATACTATTATAATAAACCCTACACTTGCGTTAGGCTATAAATTTTCACGCCATTAGACTTAGGTGGTAAATATTTTGAATAAAAACCCTAATGTGGGAAAGAGACCATAAGTTGCTGCCAACATCAAGAAAGTAAGGTTGACATGGTTTGTCATCCTGTCATGGCATTTTGACATTTGCAATTGATAATTTGACACATGTAAACAATAAAATAAAATTTCTATAATTACATGCGGATGAAGTCGCACAGGAACAGCTAGTAGTTAATAAAATATATGGATATTAGTATTAAAAGGTATTTATTTTCTGAATTAAATAAATATTCCGTGTCGGAACAAATGGGAAAGGGTCCCCGTATCCCATTAGCGAATTACCTATTTAATAAATCCGTCACTAATCCGTGGTCAGTGCTTTGATACGGCAGCGATACTAATGCCACCCCAAACGAATCCCACTAATACTGCAAATGTTTTTACATTAACGCTCTTTATCTAAAAGCTTACGCATTGAACAGATGGAATTTAATTTGCTTTAAAAAAACTCTCTTGTATACCAAAAAAAGATCAATTTAAAAATAAAAATGTTTTCAGCCAAACTCATCATCAACTTGCCCTTATCCCTTATGGAGGGTCGGCACAGTATGTGCTGCTCTTCCATACATCTCTATCAGCCGTCATATCTGAATCCACTCCTTTCTTAAGCATATCCTCTTTCACACAATCCATCCATACTTTCTTCGGTCTTCCTCTTCCTTTATAGCCATCCACATTCAATCTTAACATTTTCTGGTTTATGTCCCCATCGTCTCGTCGCATAACATGTCCATACCACGCTAACCTTTTGCTTCTCAATTTCTCCACCACTGGCGCTACTTTCAAACTTCCTCTAATATACACATTCTAAAATTTATCCATTCTATTCTAGCTCTCGATCATCCGAGACCGAGAGCTCAGTATCCGATGAAACTGTAAAAACCGTCAATAGGGTTAATAGCAACAACATCACCGAAAACAAGATGTTCGTCCATTCTTGTCACACCACACATCCATCTTAACATACGCATCTCGTACGTTTTTAGCCAAACTATCATAAGTAATATATTAGTAAAAAGTTATAATAACTTTTTAGTCGAAGCCTACCAAACACAAATATTCCAGCAGTTGTATAACAATTAAAAAATCATTTAATTTCAAATTTAATTACACTTCTGCAATACATTTTGTTAGAATTCATTTTTTTAATTTACTGATATAAATTCAGTTTCTTCTAAAGTAAAGATTCCTTCCTCTTTATAGAGCAGTAATTTAATAGTCGTTCAAAGTCTAATGAGAAAAATCTAGGTACAAAAGAAATCGAAGAGCGTAGCGGCTACGGGCCGTATTATCACACCGTAGCAACAGTTGTAGGGGACGCGCCGCACGCTACGCACGTACGTAGCGTCTACGCGGCCAAAGTTGATTTCGCCAGACTTTTTGACAATGTAGTGTCTTCCTTGTGGATTTAAATGAACGGTTTTAATGTATTCATTAAAAACTTAAATAATAATAAGCTTAAGATAGTTTAATTCAAGTAATATTAAATAGTTTTAATTTGTTAAGTCTAAGGAATGTGTATTCTTTTGGGTGTTTTAGTAAATTGAAGTAAAAATGAAAAGTGTTGTGCTAATCAGTTTCATTATTCTTATATTAGCTAAAGGTAAGAAAGAAAGTTTAATAAATTTATTGACTTGGAAAATAACTGTATGGTCATCGAATGTTATTATTAAATTATTATTTACGATAAAGAGAATTTATTTTCCATAATCATTAAAATTTCATCATTCGCTAAACATTTTATTGTTTTCTAAAATTTAAAATTAGATCATAAAAAATGCAATATCTTATCCATTTCTAAATGCAATTTATTATTATATTTGACTAAACGTATGTTCTCTGAAGCAATCTCAGTGCAACTAAATTCCTGAATAATTAATAATGGGTAAGGGTTGCCCTACTTTACATCTATTTATTAATAATTGGTATTAGTTATGCCACTCTAATTAACAATTGAATAAATCATACTATTCAAATACAGAAGACTATTATCCAAAAATTAAAAATAATTTTATTTAGCATGTCTGTATTTATTTGTCAATCAAAATCACACTTTTTTATTTGTTATTTAGTTTATCTTTTGAGCATCCTGTATTTCCTTGATGAAAGTAATATGTTTATTTTGACTTCCCAACTTATACTGTATAGCCAGTTCATGTTCTCGAAACCTCATCGGTCCATCTTAGACTTCCCAAACTTTAGTCGCAATGTTGTTCTTATAACATTTGGTATGTAATAAAGTAAATGTTGACGATCGATGTTTTAAGTTATAGTATACATTCATATTATTAAGAGGAAAGATATGTATTGAAATAACTCAAAAACTACTGGGCCGATTTCAAAAATTCTCACACTATTAAAAGCTACATTATCAGTGTACATAGGCTGTGCTTTTTATTATTATTTATTTTCATGCCAAAGTAATCGTGTTAATCGCTAGTCAAATACACAAACAATGTATTTATAATCATTAAAAATACCAATATCAGATTTAAGTACACATCTTTATAATAAAAAAATTGTCTTTTAGAATAGTATTTCATCCTTTACTAAACCCTAAATATTATTCGCAGTAATATCAACATTTAATTTCAAAATTTACGACACTTTATGATACTCTTAAACTTTATTTTCGTTCATAAAGTTTTGTTGAATAAAATATATTAAGCCTTTAGAAAGGTTTTAATAATGTTTGGGTGCACACGTAAAAGTTTCAATTTTAATATTTTATGCATTTATTTTAATATTTAAAGTACTTAAACAAAGACATATTCAGACAAAGTTATTGTCATTGCAACAAAGATTTGTAATCAGACATAGAAATGCTTTTTTCGTAACAAAAATTAAAGAGGACAGTTTTCTGAATATTTTTTTAGAATAAAGAAACATATTCTTTTAATAGTAACTTTTTAATGATCTTTATTTTGAAGAATAAAATGTAAATTAAGTTTTTTTTTTTGTTTTTCACTGAAGGTATTATTTAAATGGTCAAAGAAATATTCTTCATAAAACATTACTTAAATTTGATCACTTTATTATTTACTAGCAGTTGCATGGGTCTTTGCGCGTGGAATAAAAAATAAACAGTAACGTAGCTTTTTAATGGTGTAAGAATTTTTAAAATCGGCCAAATACTTTTTGAGTTATTTCAATACATGTGAAAATACAAATTTTATAATATTAGTATAGATAAACATTATCTTCTTCCGAGTCTTCTTTATTATTCACTTTTACCATATTTGTTTTATTACGATCATAAACTTCTCAGGAACCTCATTAACCCGTATAAGTGTGCTCAAGAAAGTTTTCTATTACAGTTTCAATTTGCTTGCGGGTCGTGGGCATATCGGTGCCGGGTCTGAAGCAGCGAGGGGAGTCCGTCACGATGACTTGTGACTACGACTTGGAAGGCGGACGTCTGTACTCCGTCAAGTGGTACAGAGATAATGAGGAGTTTTACCGCTACATGCCGCGCTTAAGGCCACCGCAACACGCGCACAGGCTAGATGGAGTCAAAGTCGATGTAAGTATGTGATAACGAGAATTTTTAAGTCATAAACTTTTAAGTCATATTGTCACTGGTTTCCATTGTCGAAGCACCAATAAGAAGACAAGGTATCTCTGTTTTACATACTCAGTTAGGGGAAGGCATGAGAATGATTTTTGGAAATACGTTTTGACTCGTAGTAAATGTTCACAACGTATGTTTGTTTTAGTGTATCCATCTTTTCATGTGCCAACTCAAGTACAGTACGATATTTAAGCAGTGGCTATGAATGAATTAACTATTATAATATCAATAATAATAGTATAGTTTCTGTTTTATTTTTTAATTCCTTCGGGTTTTATGGTTTGGTTCACAGAAAAATGCCTGCGTATATCTAAGTAGGACATTTTTATTTCTCTGAACAGTACCTATTTGTGTTCTTTATTGAATAAAGTTTTACTTGTAAAGATATTAGGTTTGAATAAAAATTTAAATGTTACCTGTAAACAAACGAATCGCTAGAAGTTTTTGTACATTTCATATCTGCGTTATAAACACTCGTTACGGATACAAGTAATACTAAAGTAGAGTTTTCAATTTGTAGTTATTCAAACGGCGTTGTAAATGCAAATGAATTTGAACTAAATTATTAATTTAGTTCTTATTAAGACGCTAAACACTATAAAACATAAATTAAACTGCTTCAAATGTTTTATGCAAAATGAACTTGAGTAGTAAATATTTTTAGTATTTGTAATTAAATGTACCTAAATATACATTTATAAAATACTTAATATGTAGATAAGAGAATCCGTTTCAGTTTTATTATATCTGTACTATCTATACTATTATAATAAAGCGTAAACACACACTTCTTTGTGGCCTAAGATATCATCAGTTATAGCATATTTTTAAATAATTCTTTTTTTAATAAAAAGCCCTACACTTACGTCACGCTTTAGACTATATATTTTTACGCCATTAAACTTAGGAGCTAAATATTTTGGATAGAAACCGTAATGTGGAAAAGAGACTATAAATTAGTGCCAACAAACAATTTTTCCATATTAAGGTAATTGGTATTTTGACATTTGCAATTAAGAATTTGACAAATGTAAACAATACAATAATCTTTTTATAATTCCACGCGGATAAAGTCGCACAAGAACAGCTAGTTTATTAATAAAGATATAACCTTTAGTAAGTTATAACAAAGAGAAAACAGTTTATAAAACATTTTAAAGTCAAAAGATACTTTAGTGAGAGTTAAATAAATTACAATACCAGCAAAAGAGCTTTTGAAAGCTCAATTTTAGAACGCTTGTATATTTTTCATTTCAATGCTGTAAACATTTATCATTTAAAAATGCGTCATCATGACATCTAAAACTCACGTAGCAGAAAATCTCTTCCATTTCCTACATGATATTTTAACATAAAAAATACCTTTTAATCGCTTTCGTAAAACGTTCGGAATATTTAAATCCTATGATGTCCTATATGAAAATTATCCCGTAACACATTTGTGCGGCAATTTATACAGGAACGAACAAATTTGCGTAAGGACAAATTAAGTACGTTAAAACGTTTGCTCACGATATCAAACATTGTGCGTTTTATAAGTTACGCAAATTTGGTGCTTTTCTACTTAAAACTGATTATGTAACTCAACTTGTTTTTTATCCATGTTAACAAGTTTTTTTTATAAACAAATATTTCTCGGAGATAATTTAGTTACAACGTAAAGACCTAAGTAAAATCTTAACTCAACAACTTACCTAATTGTTTTCTGTTTATAAAAGAATAAGTAATGGCCGTTTTTTCTACATTAAAGTATATTCAATAGATATCATACTTAATACTAATATAAATGCAAAAGTTTAGATGGATGGATGGATGGATGTTTGTTAGAGGTTTTAGCCTAAATTGCTGGACGGATTTCTATGAAATTTGGTAAAGATGTAGAGGATATTCTTATTATTATACCGTACCGGATTGTGTAAAAGAGGGTATGCTTAAGAAAGGAGTGGATTCAGATATGACGGCTGATAGAGATGTATGGAAGAGCAACACATACTGTGCCGACCCTCCGTAAGGGATAAGAGCAAGTTGATGGTGATGCAGAGAATATTCTGGGAGAACACATGGGGTACTTGCTTTTGTTTTTTTATTAATTCCACGCGGACGGAGTCGCGGGCGAAAGCTAGTTTATTCGTAAGTAAACATTAATATTTTTTTCTAAAAAAAAAACTTATTGTCTTCTTGATATCGTCTCCAGGCTTTAAGTGGATACTGAACATTTTACGGCATTGTATTTACTGTTGGTTACCAAGATATATATTTCCACAGCAATAAAGAGTAGCAACAAACACAAAAAGTCACCATTGACATTTTATATGCAATGAAACGAATGACCGACACGACTAAACCGTAGGTCATTCACGAACTGAGGATACGATCACGTAAATTTTATAGAATACAAAAAAGAAGATTGTATTTTGGTTAAAATTGCATGTAAAAATTATTCGAGACTAAACGCAATTCTAGAAATTCAGTAGAAGAAACTTACACGTGCAACGTCGCGGTATTTTGTTTTTAATAATTATTAACTATCTAATAATAAAGATAGAATTAAGTGCATTTTCTAAAAATTAATATAATTATTTAGCTAAGCTTGCCATTTATAAGTAAAGACATATGCATTTTTCAAGATCAGTGCCATTATCTCATAGAATACTAACAAGCTTTTAACTCATTACAGATATATGTAGACTGCACTCACTTCACTATTACAGCTACATCAGGTGTCAGGCTCTTTACCATCTATTGATATAAAAAGTGTGTATCTGCATTACCTAGTTTTAAATTATACATTCTAATTAAAATAAAAATAGTAGCTAAAATAGTCAACGTTATTAGCCACTTAAGGCTAGCGGGCAGCATTGTATGCTGTGCTTTGGCATACAACACGGCTGTTCGAAGGTAACTACGTCAATTAACCTAATTACGTGTGCACTCAGGTGGAAAGGTCTAGCGCGAGGCGCGTGCACCTCAGGGACTTGACGCTAAAGTCGCGCGGCCTCTACCGCTGCGAGGTGTCTGAAGAGGCTCCGTCGTTCCACTCCGCACAATCAGAAGCCTTCATGGAAGTATACTGTGAGTATTGTTGTTCTGTGAAGCTTTTGTATATGCGTGCGATTTTTTCTTGTTTATATTTAAGATGTACTGAAGAAAGTAAAGAAAACTGTAAAAGATGCTTTAAGCCTCTTTAAATTAGGTTGTTATATTAGAAAAATTATCGTTTAAAAGGACGGTGTTTACGTAACAGTAAACAATAGGAAACTAACTCCTCGAGATATAAAAGTACAAAATCTTGGAAAGGAACTAATTTGTGTTGAACGCCCTGGGCAATGAGGGTTTCATTACCCTGTACTGTATTTTAATCTTTTATTAGTATTGTATTCTATGAAGCCTTAACTAGTAGGATAATGAATAACGACTGGATTCAATATTCTAACTTAAAATATGCTTATCCGATAAATTTTAGATTACATTAATCCCCTGGGTGTAATTTTTTTGGATTTTTTTATAATAAAAAGTGGCAAACGAGCAATCGGCCACCTGAATCCACCGAAATGGAAAGAGACTGCGGCTCATAAACATCCGCAATTGCAGATGCGTTGCCTACCCTTAATTGACGGAGGAGACGCACATAAAGAGGACATTTTCGCTTCCTCTGCGTCTCCTTCACCGTCAAATCCACTTTTCCTTCCCATACTTTCCTCTTAAGAAAAGGGTGGAAAGGGAAAGGGACTAAAATAAGCCTAATATTTTTTTATTCTATCCTACCAACAAAATGAACAAGGATAAATAAAGTACATTTTTGTATACTTTTTTGTCCATTTCTTTGCAATGTTCGTGTAGGCGAAGTTAATTAACATAAAAAGTTAAGCAATTCAACAACACACGTTTAAACCGGAGTGTACAAAAGTCCGGAAACTCAAACTCAATTAAAGGGATAAATGTCGTCCAAGAATGAAATGGGTTGTTGAATTTTCCTCAACCAATGGCGTTATAAATTACAGAGATCTATATTATTGTTTTGCTTTTTATCTTAATTGTTTCGTTTAAATTAAAAACTGTAGTAGTAAATACATTTCTCGATAGAAATTTTGAATTTATATTCTCTCAGATTGTTATGTACTAGCTGTTGCTCGTGACTACGTCCGCGTGAAATTTAAAAAAGATTTTTCTAATCTTTTTTAATTTTCTTATAGCCTATGTTACTAATACCGAAACTTTTCTATGGGGAAAGAATTTTTTAAATCGTCCCCGTAGTTTTCGAGTTATTCCAATACAAACAAAAATACTAATCTTTCCACTTTATAATATTAATATAGCTAAATGATGTATCTCCATTATCGAACCAAAGTCTAAAACCCACTTAAACTTTTCTCAAAGAAAGAAATAAAGAAAACTATTAAATTAAAACCGAGATGGCTCATAAAAATGCAATGTGGTTCAAATCAGGTTTAAGGAAAGTGGTTTTAAGCGATTCAAGCTTTCTACCAGCTCTTCTTTCCTTTAAAAAACTGTTATAATGAAATAATATACTACTTTTCTAACCTTAGATTCTTCGCTTTAATTCTATACTTCCGACTTATCGATACAATTTATTACTAACTTTAACTATTAAAAGAAAACATTGTATCTTCATCTCATTTAATATGAAAATATTAATAAATAAATTCTGTTTAGTAATCTCGAAATCTAAATAACTTTGCCTTTTCTTACATCGCATTCTCCGTCGATATTGCTGTCTTTAGAATCTCCTTATTTCATCCTGATTATAATTTCTTGAAGCGGTTATTTTCTGCTATCTTAGAATGTTTAGTTACATTTACGAGTAAATTTTTAAAATAACCATTTTAGTAATGTACATTTTTTTTTTTT